CCGACCATTTTCTTGATTTCCTTCCCTTAATATCTTTCCATGAAATGTATTTGGGTTTGATTATCAAAAGAAATAAATATTTGGGTTGTTGAAATGCATAATCCATAGTCAACAAAGACACAAGGATTATGTGAATGGATTATTCTCATTTTACGAATTACAAATGTCATTAAAGAGTTCAAAACATAAATGGAATTATTAATTTATGTTGGTGAACTTATTTTTACGAAATGTGGACGGTAAATCAAAAAATTAACTCTTATTGCAAAATTTGTAACTCGAGTGGTTAAAAGTATTTATTTATGTACTTAAAGTTCTATGTTCGATTTTCCCCTTTTTCAATCTCGTTTATTTATACCAATTCGCAATTTCTCATAAGAAATCTCATTCGTTTACGAGACATAAATATATGAAATTTGATACTCATTCGCACATTTTCCTCTTACAAAACAAAAGTTTCAAGGCCCAATCCAACAATTCTAAAAAAAGGGACGTGAGAGCACGCGCCATTAGGTGCGAGTAAAACTAATTCAAACATATCTTTGTCCATACTTTCTCCCCTGTAAACTTTAACTTACACTCCTACTGCTCGTCCACTAGCAGCCACCAAGCCATGCAAATATCTTCCAAAATTTTAAAGCTCCAAATTTTCACCATTGTGACCCCTCCCATCTTCCCCGTCCTCCCTCCAAACCCAAACCCCTCTTCCTCCAAAACCCATATGAATTCTCTGCTCTTTTCCACAACTATCAAATTCTGCAACTCTGAAACAACCCAAAACCAACCCAATTGATTGATTTGCAAAAAGCTCAAAACTTTCCCACTTTGCACTTTGCACATTGCTCAAGTTGCTTTTTGAATAAGCAGCTTATCCAATTGGAGATGTTGGCTTTAGAAATGGTTCGAGATGGGTTGCTGGTTCCAGTGGAGAGCACCCAAACTTCAGCTCAATCCTCTGCTGCTAAGAAAAAGACTGCAGCTTTGAGAAGCTGGATTTCGCTGGACCAAGATGGGCAAGGAACCGTATTGGATTTGGACAAGTACGCCATTATCCGCCGAGTTCAAATTCACGCTAGAGATCTTCGGCTTCTTGATCCCTTGTTATCATATCCTTCTACCATCTTGGGTAGAGAGAAAGTGATTGTTCTCAATTTGGAGGTCGGTTCTCATTTCCACAAGTACTTTCGATTCGATTTTGATTTTGATTTATTTTTTTACTAAAAACTGTGCTTGTTTTGTATGCTTTTTTGGGATTTGGGTTCCAGCACATTAAAGCTATAATCACAGCAGACGAGGTAATTATATTATATACGTTTTGTACTGCTTCATTTGCCTTGCGTTTTGTCCTCACTCTTTTATTCTAATAACACTGGCATTAAACTAACAATTAATCACAACCAGCAAAGAGGGTAATGACTTGGATTTCCATCTTACATTGAGCAGAATACAGAGTTGTTTCCAAATGTATAGAAGTTAAAAAAAAAAAAAAAAAAAAAAAAAAAAGGAAAAGGGGTATCAGGAAAAGGGTTGAGATTTGTTCTTGGTGTAGGTATTGCTTAGAGACCCTTTTGATGATAATGTACTGCCTATTGTTGAGGAACTTCAAAGACGTTTGCCTCTAGTAAGTGCCAATTTCCAAGGCCAAGGAGAAGATGAAGAAACCTCAGGGGTACAGAAAGATGTTGAAACCGATGAACTCAGTAAATGATGCTCTTCAGAACCTCTCCATTATCGGTTTATGTTACAGAACATTAAAAAGGACAATATTGCTCAGGAAGTTCTAGTTCAAATTTCATGTTCCTACTAGTGCTAGTATGATTCAAGTTTTGTACAAATATTATATGTTTGCTTGTTGTCTATCTGTTCTTTGACTTAATGTTCTGGTTGTTTGGCTTATGTCATGATTTAGAATTCCCATTTGAATTTCGGGCATTAGAAGTTGCACTAGAAGGTATTTGTAGTTTTCTTGATGCGCGCACAAGAGAACTAGAGACTGATGCTTATCCGGCTTTAGATGAGCTGACTTCCAAGGTAAAGGGTTTGCTTAGAGTTTCATTGTTCTTTATCTGCTCAGCTGACTTTGTTTGTTGGATGAATTAAATCCCTGATTGCGTAATCATGGTGTCAAAAGCCTCCAAAATACATTAAACTTAATTTTTCAGCATCCATGATAGAAGGAAAACTAGTTTAGATTATTCTTCTTTGATCAAGCAGTTAGAATTATTTGCAGATTAGCAGTCGGAATTTGGATCGGGTGCGTAAATTGAAGAGTGCAATGACCAGGTTGACAAATCGGGTTCAAAAGGTATGCTAATTATTGATATGATGCTGTAAATGGCGGGTGCCATATGCTAATATATAACTATATATTCCTCTTATGCTCAGCAGCCCCTCATGGGGCTTCATGTTAAATTGGACTGTTCTGTGCATCTTGAGCCCCCATACAGCATTCATATATGGAGTGATGCAGGGGATTTATATCATGTTTTAGTTCTTCAATCAAATTCGTTAAAAATGCTGTATTGTTGTTGTTGCCATAAAGGTAGAAAGTTGCTAATATGGACTTATTTCCTGAATTGGAACTATGGATTCTAGGTAAGAGATGAACTCGAACAACTTCTTGATGACGACGATGACATGGCCGACCTTTACTTATCAAGAAAGCTGGTTGGGACTTCACCTTTCAGTGACTCAGGTGCTCCAAATTGGTCGCTCGCCTCACCTACCATAACTATAGGCTCAAGGGTGTCCAAAACAAGCAGGGCAAGTGCAGCAACAACAGCCGAGGAGAATGATGTTGAGGAACTTGAGATGTTGCTTGAGGTTATAATTCTTCATAGGTCTTATACTCTTGTAAATCCAGTACCTGAAGTCTGAGTTGCATCCTATTATCTTTTGCAGGCTTACTTTATGCAAATTGAAAGCACATTGAATAAATTGACCACGGTATGTACTCTTATTGCTGTTTCGGCATGCTAGGACAACTGATATAAGATAGAACTCATCTGATTCGTTCTTCGCTTACCAGCTCCGTGAATACATCGATGACACAGAGGATTACATTAATATCCAGGTAATGGTTGGGAAAATTGATATCAAAACTTTGATACACTAATTCTACAATTCACCTGAGCTATATAATACCTTCAACAGTATGCATACCATTAACATGGCTGATCTATTGCATATTCTGTTGCAGCTTGACAATCATCGAAATCAGCTAATTCAGGTACTGTCTTTAGGACCAAATTTAATAGATACTATGGCCTTGTCTTATAAGTACATGTTCCCTTTTGATAGTTAACATAAGTTCCCTGTGACAGCTAGAGCTGTTCCTAAGTTCTGGAACTGTTTGTTTGTCTGTATATTCTCTGGTGGCTGCAATATTTGGCATGAACATCCCATATACATGGAAGGAAGGTCATGGCTACATATTCAAATGGGTATGTACAAGATACCACCACATCACACAGAACTTTCCGTCAATTTCTGGAAATATTTTTCTTTTCTAACTCCATTTTCTTTAATGCAAAGGTGATCATCGTCACGGGGGTAGTTTGTGCCTCTCTTTTCTTGTTCATAATCTCGTATGCTCGGCACAAAGGTCTTGTTGGATCTTGATCTCCCTTTCCTTGTTCATACCATTATGATCTGTTGGGAAGGATGTATAAATAGTAGAGCATGCAATTGTCTTCATGTATTGTTTATGTACAAATACAGACAAAACTGGTTCAAGGGGTTTACTTGTAGTTAGCAATTTAAGACACTGAAATAAAAAAGTTTAATGTAATGATTACATTGTGGAAATCATGGTCTTTATTGCGGCTTGGTTTTGGGGATTTGATTTCAATAGTTGCCTTTGGTCGTCAGTCAACATGTAATTCTTCCCGCACAAATTCTGGGCCCTCACAGTTTTCCTGTGATTGAAACTTGTTATATCACTCGCTCCTAGAAGGACCATGCCACATGTGTCTAACATGTTTTCCATGTTCTTCAACTATTCTTTAATATGTTGTACTGCCTATCTAGGTGGCATTTCATTCGATTTGATAGATTACATGTAGGTCTTTTTTTATTACTAATAATTAACGTAATATTGCAGGTGGAATCATTATTAAAACGATTTATTCACTTACAACTCACTGAATGTTTATTTAAAAAATGACTTAGGCATGGCTCATAAACTCGTATGTTCATGTTACGATGTATATACGTACTTGGAACGAGAGAAGTTATGAATCGGATACTATCGTATATCAATCTAATTCCCGATCGGTCAGATATGTATGTTAACAGTTGTAGGCAAGTCTCCTAGATTCCTAACTTAGGCTAGTTTCACTTGCTCAACTACTCAGTTGGCCCACAAAAATATAATTTTAATGGCTTTCCAAAGACCTCAAAGAAACCACCCGCCCTTTCTTTTTGACCTGTTCAATGCCACCCCAACCCCTGACGAGTCACACATTAGAAGCCCTAAACTTAATGCCAATAGTAGAATGATACTTTTGTCCGAGTACACACATTGATTGACAGTCCCTTTTAGGTCTGTCGAATGAACTTGTCTACCTTGCATATTTACTACTCGCAAGCAAGGGTAAGACTGTAAACAAAGAAGATAACAGTAAAACAGTGAAAACAAGAGGTTCCGGAGTGAAATATTACTGAGGGAAAATGTGATTGGAGAAATGTCTGAGTTTGAAGTAGCTTGTTTCAGTTAATCCGTACGTGAAAATATCGACTCATTTACTTCGGTCTCTCTGTTGATTTTTTATTTTATTTTATTTGTATTTTAACTTCAATTAGAAAGAAAGAAAAACAGTTCAATGCGACGACCTCATGCTTATGCGCATGTGGACACACTTCCGCAAGACTCGCCGTCAGGTGCACGAAACCCAGCGCGCACTCTTCACCACAATGCGCACCCCGGCGCACATTAGCGGTACCCAATCATCTTGAATTGAACCTGTCTTTTAAATCCAATTTATTTATTTATTGCTTTTAGAATAAGGAAATAAAATATGTAGAGACAAGAAAACAAAAACAAAAAAGAAAACTCTTTGCTTCATGCTCTTTATGACGAAGAGAGCCTCTCGATTCAGATCAATAATCCGCGACCCTCTGTGCAAATCCATCAAAACCCACGTCAAATCTTCGAAAATCGATCGAGCCCATCTCGTAATCTCACCTTCCCACTAGCCACAGCAGGCTCTCTTCTCCACCCGTTTTCAACAATAAGCAGAGGTATCTGTTTTGTTTTCTCCCTCTGCACGCATTTTGCTGGATTTTCCTCATCGTATTTGCTTGCCCGGTTGCCTTGTTGATGTTCTGATTTTTATCTTTTTTGTGTCTAATGCAGGTGGATGTGAATAAATGGACGTAAATTTTGTGTCTGCGTTAACATGCAGTGTGTGAATACGTGGGTGAGTTTGAATTGCAGAGCTGAAGTGTGAGAGGTTGAAGATGCCGAATCAGGTGGCGAAAGTGAAGAGGGAGACAATTACAGCATGCATGACTTGTCCGCTTTGCCATAAGCTCTTCAGAGACGCCACCACCATCTCTGAATGCCTTCATACGTGTGAGTCTTTCCTCGTGCCAATGACTCTGCGTCTCTGATTCTTTGTTTGTCTCTTTCTGCTGGTTTAGTTTCCGATTCTGCAAAATTTTGAGTGTAAAGCTGTGATTTTTTTGACATTTGATGTTTTTGGTGATCTGGGTTGTTGGTATTTTGCATTTTTCTTATCTGGGTTTGGCTTGGTTTGGCTCTGACTGGTTTTGGGATGTGGGTTTTTGAAATTCCATGCTTTCCTTTTATGTTTCTCTGCTGGAAGATCTGAGGGCAGCTTTGCCAGTTGGATTGGCCAACCACTCGTGAACAAGCAGCATCTTGTTTAATTTATATACTTGGCGATAATTCGAAAGTTCGACTGACAGTGATATAATTTTGCCTTCTGTCGAAAGGCCTCTGCTTGCAGTGGTCTAAGTAGCATTGCGTTCATGCTTCATCCCATGACTGTATAATTAATGCATAGAGTTATAGAGTCGTGTGTTCTTTCCAGTTGATCTTCACAAACGTATAATTATGTTCAAAATCTATAGCACTGCTCAATTATCATAAATGGTTCCTTTTATTTTCGCTGCCTGATTAAGAATTTAGTTAGCTTAGGTGTGCATGTATTTCATGAGCCTCCTGAAGGCATTAATTGTATTATTAGGGATGATAAGTGGTTCTTTTTAGTTTTGTTCATGGGCTTAGCTCCCAGTTTACCCCCCAAAAAAAAATTTAGTTTACTTCCTTTTCTGGATTTTCTAATACTTATTGCAAAACAATTCTGCTGAAAGTTTTTTCTCCCAGAGTGCTCCCCCACCCCCCTTTTCTTTCCTCAATATTCTAACTCCGTGTACAGTGTAAAGAATAATTCTGATAGATTTTTTGTTTGGACTTCTCCAGTTTGCAGGAAGTGCATATATAATAAGATTTCAGACGAGGAACTAGAATTCTGTCCAATATGCAATATCGATCTGGGTTGTGTACCACTGGAGAAATTAAGGTTCCTATTTCTTCACTTATCTTCGAGTTTAGCAAAACAAGTACTTGCTTGGATTATAATGTTGATGCATTTTCGGAAAAGTTGGGTTCCTTCATCTTTTTTGAATGGAAATCATTCAATTTTCCTTTTTATTGGCAAAGATTTCATAAGTGAGTTTATTCTGTGATGATGAAAAAAAAAGAGTTCAATATGTATAAGTGAAATTGGGTTTTATGGATATAGTGAATTTACCGAGATGACAAATGAAGAGGATGGTCTTTGGAAATCTTGTAATTCTTCAATGCTCGTGCCCTTGTCAAGCAACCGTAAATTGTACTTATTGAGCAATCATGCACGTCCATTATGCAGAATAGACCACATATTGGAGAAATTTTTAGATTTTTGTTCATAAATCATGATATATTGATGTGTTTTAGTTTACCTTGGTTATCAGGCCAGACCACAGTTTGCAAGATGTAAGGGCTAAGATTTTCCCTTTTAAGAGAAGAAAGGTAAGGGCACCTGAAGTTATGCCTTCAGCTACATTACCCGCTAGAAGAAAGGAGAGATCTCTCTCGTCATTGGTGGTCAGCACTCCCAGAGTGTCAACCCAGGCTACCATGATGACTGGAAGGAGAACTAAAGCTGTTGCGAGAAAGGCTTCTGCTTTACAGGGATCTAGTTTTTTGGTTGAAAGGCCTATAAAGAAAGAGGAAGATTCCGCCGCGGAAGATCATCCAGAGCGTTTCAGCTCACCCGAGGCCTCAAATAAGTCTGGTCAAAATAACAGGCAGGTAAATGAGGGCAACATTATCTCTTATCGTTTTCCTTATATGCACTATTTAAACTGCCGATGAGGTCTTGTTTTCACAAGCTTAAAAAGAAAGTATAGCATTTGGTACATATACTAATGCATTTATTGCTCTCACATTTGACTGGCGCAGAGTTCTTTCTCTGCCGAGCCTAGCAAATCTGTACCCATTAAAGAAACTGAGAATGGTGGTGAAGCAAGGGAAGGGAAATTGGATCTTTGGAAACCACTAAATTTTTTGGTGGAAGTTGCAAATAGGACCAAGTCTCACAAATCCAATTCACAAGGGTCTGATAATAAAGTAGAACCGGTGCATGTTATCGCCAGTGAATCTCAGGTTCGAAAACCCAAAAATAAGGAAAATAAACAGAAATCAAAAGTTGAGGATGAAAAAAATAGCACTTATCCTATCTCTCCAGAAACAGTAAAGCCCAAGAAGCTGCGTAGGGTTCGCCGAAAGAGGGAAGCATTTGGAGAATCAAGCATTTCACCCCAAGCTGTTCTGGATGCAGCCATTGGCAAACATGAAAGAAGAGTTGGTCCAATTTGGTTCTCACTTGTAGCTTCTGAAGACCAGTGAGAAACAACTTTAGCTTTGAAAGATTCTAAATCATTTTGGAATATTTATACAAATTTCTTGACAAGTTGCTCTGCTTTTGTTGATATATTGATTCTATAACTTCATGGTTTCAGGGAAGATGAACCCTTGCCGCAAATTCCTACAAATTACTTAAGAATAAAGTGAGTTCGTCTCTATGGCTTAATGCATGTTTGAACGGGCCATTCATCATTACATGCTGAAGTGTTCATTGTTTTAATGCACATGCATGCTTCCTTCATTCTTACTTATTGCTGGAGTACGTACATGGTTGTATGAAAGCCATTAATATTATGTGATCTTAATGCTGGAAAAACTGTAAATTTTCAAAAATCATCACTGCTAGTACTTGTAATATGCGTCTTCTTAAGATTTTGAAGATTAGAAAATGATTATGTCTGGAAAGAATTCTCCAGTGCTTAAATCTTATATTTGGTTCATTTGTCACAGAGATGGAAACGTGCCTGTTTCGTTCATCCAGAAGTACCTAATGAGGAAGTTAGATCTCACCAATGAAGCTGAGGTAAGGGAACCCACGCTTACATCTAAAAAGACTACTGGAAAATTATCCTTAGAAATAGAGTTCTACTGTATATTGTTGTGCTTCTTTTGGTAACCATTCAATTACATTCTTGCAGGTTGAGATCAAATGCATGGGACAACCAGTGGTTCCCACATTGCAGATGTATAACTTAGTCGACTTGTGGCTACAAACATCATCACCTTCACAACGAATTACTGCATCCATTGGTTCCTCTGCAAAAGATTTTGTGATGGTGCTCGCTTACTCTCGAAAGGTCTCAAACTCCTAAAAGAACGACAATATTTGTTTCCCTTCGAATCTCCAGGATGGTCGGGAGGCAGCTTCTGATCCGGCATGTATGTTATGAGTATGTGTTGCAATTGCCATGTTGTCTACTGCAGCAGCCTAAAGAAACACTTGCTCGTGCTCCCACTTCCATAGTCTGGCATGTTGTTCTTGGCAAATGGCCATTGCGACGATTGTAATATTAAGGTTTAGATAAAAAGATTTTCTTTTTTTAGATTGTTGATTCACGTCATGGAATGCAGAACATCCAAAAACCTGACTGGTATACAGTTTCTAGCCGCAATTTACTTTGTCTGTAACAAAATGTTTGCGAAATACTAAAAATAGCAAGATGATGTTTGATTTTCTTATTTATTTATTTTTCCCTTTTGTGGATAAAGAAGTCAGTCACTATCTTCAATTTAAAATAAAAAAAATATTGGAAGAGGGAGGGAATCAAACCTAAGAAAGATTTTGAATACAAGGATAAATGCTCTTAACTAATTGAGCTATAGGGCATCTTATTTTTTCAATCCAATGACTTGGGTTGGCCTGAAGATTGAAGAAGTGATTAATTGTAGAACATATACCAGAAGATATTCCATGCATCCTGCATATACACACAAAAATGATTCAACTGGGAGGGAACAAAAAACACGATCACGTGCGCACGTGACTGTACAGCTATCCTATCTCTCAGCACATGATTGTATAATTATAGGCTCCCTATGCTCAAGGCTGTTACCTTTCTTGTCTTGAGCCTCCTCAGTCGCCATCTCATGATACCTAAACAGCTAGGCTTCAGCTCAGTCCTTTGGGCATAAAGCAACTTACACAGAGACATTAGCGCAGGCAATAAAACTGCGGTTGGGAAAATCCATTCACTCAAGATGCCTTGCATTCAATTCAAAGTAAAGACCCCAAAACCAAGGTGGTTGGTGTGAGTGGTTCGGCACTCTCATTCCTTAAGAGAGGTCAGGGGTTCGATCCCTGCTCTTGTATGGAGTCACCACTTTGGCCAGCACTTTACTCCTTACGGGCCGACCCGGTGTGAGCGGGGATTAGTCTGCTCTACCAACAAATAATAGCAAGATTTACATGCCATTGTTACATTCAGATTTATTCAAATATACTGCCTGTCAGTATATCAAAGAAAGTCACAGGAAACCAATCGATCTGTACTTCGAATGGCCGGAAAGGTCGGGCATTCTCAATTCCTCTTGCATAAAATGTCATAAACTCAGTGCAGAATACAAGAAGGGGCAATACCCTCAGCTAGAAACCCATGACAGTTTTCTTGTGATAATAGTTTACTGTTACTGTACAAGGATAGACAATCAAATCATAAATAATCTTATGGATTCACTAGAAAGAAAGTGCAAATCCACTCTGCTGAGAAAATATCATTATCCTGTAACAGGCTTCGATAGAACGAAAGAATATAATCTGCGATACAAAATCAGTGGTCATCCGGTAAATGCCTAGTTGCCTAGTCATCTCATGTCCTACCAACCAATTCCAAAATAATATGAAACAAAAGTGAAGTATGTATTATTGAATCAAAACTCCAACCAAACGGGATTCTGAAAGAAAGTTCATGTGCAAACCAGCCATAGATTAAGATATTCATAAACCCATTGTGATAAAAGGCGTTGGCTTTGCATGGACCATGGCTGCTATAATTCCTGCTTTTCCCTTTTCCAATAATCAATTCAAAGACTTTATCCTCACATGGCCCAAACCAAAAGCGCTGCATCTCTACTCTGTATCATCTCAAATCTACAAAAATTGTGAGGGAAAACATGCTTTGGCTCCCTATCCAGCCTTCAAAGTCCGCACAAATGGGTCTTATAGCACTTTGAAACATCTATTAACAGTAGGTAAATTGAGCAGTGACATATAGAGGGGAGAGATGACCATTAAACTGAGGAATGAAAACTATTACATCAAAATCTTTACCTATGGGGTTTAACTTAACAGAGCTTCTAAAGCTTATCCAAGAGATGGCACAAAGGTAAATAGTTCATGAAGGAAAATATTGAACAATCAACAGTTGAATGCCAGTAGAAATGACTGACAGCAATACATTCAAATGCAAGAATCATCTGCCAAAGAATATGCACATAAACAGTAAGCAACACTTTAAATCTAAATTCAAATAGATTAATTGCTTCACTCTAACAACTCACGTTCAACAGCATTTCAATGTTTCCCTTTAACAACCACACTTGAATCAAAACTATATATTGGCAAAGACCAAGCAATCTGATACATGTTTCACTAAGTATAAAGAAAACCTCTAAAGGGTCATCAATTCGCACTACATTTACAAAAATGAAAGAGGAAAAAAACCTGAACTTGAAGCTAAAAGCAAAGAATAGAGCTCAGGATTGAAGAAAATGCTTACTAAAAGCAGATCTAAAATGAGCTTACAATGCCAAAAAAGGAACTTCTCCTACCCACCAAGATCCGTATCGAAACAGAATAGCGAGAATCGAATGGAAAATCAGCTAAGCGCGGGAGTACCGAGGTCGCGTGGGACTGCCTACAACCGAAAGCAACCCACCTTCGGCAGCTTCTTGCTCGTCGTTATATAAATCCTCCGTACCCCTAAAAGCTGCGTGTAACGCAACAATTGCGACCCCAATTAGAACAGAGACCAACACGTTCAACCACACGTGCGTGAAAATCAGAGCGACGATGGTGACAACGCCAAGCACGCCCAAAACAATACGGTCGTCGACGATATGGTTGAAAATGACGAGTGGGTTGTCGCGGAAGAAGTAGAGGAAGAACCAGGCGACGAAGACAAGGAGAAAGACGATTAAGGAGACTGGGTGCCACAGCAGACTGAGGAAGAGGATGAAGAGGACGACCATGGTGTAGTTGACGCGGAAGTAGCTGAGGTTGCGCTTGATTCGGATTGTGGCGTCGCCGAAGGTGTAGGGGCGCGTGAAGTTGTAGAAGGGCTGGACGAGCTCGAGCCATGGGCGGCGCTTGGCGAAGAAGGACTGGGTCGTTTCTCTGGCACGAAAGAACGTTGAGGGTGCGGCGGTGCTGGTGGCGGTGGTTGATGGTAGGGTGCCATAGTAAGCATTTGGATCTAAAGACATTGAAGCTGGATAATTGAGCTTGAATATGAAGCTATCTGAGTTCAGCTAAACCCTAGGAAAGAGAAAGTGAAAATCTTTTGCTGGGGGGATCGGAACAGTATCAGAGAGAGAGAGAGAGAGAGAGAGAGAGAGATTTTCTCTAAGTCCCTGTAAGACTGTTGCTGGTTTGATATTTGTGCTTTTGAGGAGCGAAGAGATGCGTGATTTGATAAAAGAGGATACGACAGCGTTTGCATTACGTGAAAACGGCGTCGTGTCATGTCTTGTGGGCAATCGGGTAATTGGGAGCATATGGTTGAGGTGGAGCCGTCGGCTTTATTAAAGAGAAAGAGACTTCTTCCATTGTCGTGGCAAACTGGGTAGTTGGGTACTTACTGGTGTTTTGGGTCAAATATGGCTCCAACATGAAAAGGTAAAAAAAAAAAATTTGGGTACCAAAAAGAAAAAAAGTTGTAACTTGTAACAAGGGGATTGGATGGATGATGGTCATCGATAGTTGAAAAAGACAGAAATAAGATAGAACGTATAATGTCTTTACTTTGTGCCGACCTAAATTAGGCTGGTTGATCATTATAGTGAATTCGTCCGTTTGTCTTGTACACAAGTTCGAATCACCTTGTAAATTAGTTGTTATTTGTCTTTTAATTTTTTCTTCTCAAATTTCTCATTTCAATAGTTCGAATCACCCTGAGAAATTAAAAGAAGGGAGCGGCTAGGGTAAACATCAATAGTTGTTATTTGTCTTTTAGTTTTTCCCTTCTCAAATGTTATAATTTTACTCCGCAGCAAATTTGGATCTGAGAATTGATAACAAAACCTTTGGCAAAAAATAAGAAAGGAATTGACAAAGAAAATAAAAAGGGCCCAAACAGTTGGGTTGACCAAAGTCCAAAGTTTAAACATGAAGTGGGCTGCTTGACAAAAAAATACATGAAATGGGCTCATTAGAAAACCCCAATATCTTTCATTGAAGTCGAAACGACGACGTGGGCTGGTATCGTCGTCTAGAAACCAGAAGGAGGGCCTTGTATGGTCGTCTGCAGGAGCAAATACGAGCTCCATTGTTCGACGGTTTGTTTGTGCTGTGGAAGCGATAGAAAATTTCGTTAATCGCATAGAAAATCCTGGTTAATTCTAAGGTAATTCTTAGTAATCATATTTTGTAAGACTAATTTTCAACAATTTGTGGGGGGGTTTTTAGGTTTTCTGGGCTCCGATTGTGTGTAGTCGCTAACTGGTTTTGTATCAAAATTTCAAGCTTCAATCATATTGTTAGATTTATTCAGTACTTAAATTCAATGAAGTTGAATTTGAAAATTGTTCATATATGATATATTCCAGTGCTATATTTTCAACAATTTCGTTAACATCATTATGCAAAAATTTGAATTAGGCACAGTGGATTAGTGGACTGGACGGTTCCAGTTTTCCAGTGCATGAAAACCCTAAATCTTCAATGGTCTAGTGGATGGTAAATTGGTTCTCAAAGTCACTGATAATAAAGAGGTACTAATACTTTCTTCCTCCAACTGTGTATTAACTCATCTCTGTAACCCTAGCTGGCTGAGATTATTATTGATTTAACTTCATGAACAAGACAGTAATTTAGTAAGTCTGTGTAACCCTATTCATCGTTTAGGAACTTCAATCAACTTTGTTTTGTTAAAAATTGAATTGAATTAGCGCAGTTTTGAAAGGCATATGAAACAAGCAGCCTGTAATGTTAACACTATTCTCGGTTTTGTACTGTTAATGCTCTTCTACTGACAGATTAAGTGAACCTGTGGTGATCTTCTTTCTTATAATGTTATATTTTGATCAATAAAGTACTTACATCATTTTCTGGTGAATCTTTTGCTTTTTTTGTTAAGATGTTTTATATTCCATATTTCTTTTTTCTTACAGAACAAGGTTTTCTGAGAGATGTTAGGTCCGCGTTTTTTCGTTTTTTTGTTTACATGATTCATTTCCCCTTGTTTACTCTGTAGGCAGGGTCATCAATTTTGCTTTGTTTGTTCCCCTTTAAAAGAAAATAGTCAAATTGGTTCTTTTTGGTATGTGGCTAATTGAGTGTTAATATTTTCCATCCAAGTTGTTGAAACTATTTTTTTGTTTGGGAACCTACCTCTGTTGTGGCAGAAATTCACTTGTCACCCCTTCGTTTGACTTAGATGCTTAAGATCCTTCGCCTCTGTTTTTTACATTACACAAATCTGTTAATTTCACCTATTCCATTTCAAACTGTGATGTCTTGTTTTTTCTTCTTTGTTGAGCTCAGGGAGTGATTCTCAAACTGTTTTATATGGGATTAAAACAATAAAAATACATGAAGGACTATTTTTCATGCCGAATAGTTCCCAAATTGGAATCTGGGGAGTATTTCCTTTTCTTCTGTCTTCCATTTCTTTCACTTTACTTTTTTTGGGTGGACAAATCCAAATAGCGGAAAGTTCGTGTTAGTAGTCAAATGAGACATCTGGCTGAATTTGACATGATTATAGTTTCTTAGTGCATTCTAGGAATATGTTGGAAAAATCTCCTATGCTTGCTTATAAGCAGAACACACACTTCATAAAATCCTGATATGTCCTGTGGTTGTCTTTGGAACCCTGGATTGAAACATTTTTTAGGCTTACTACAAGCTTTGGTATGTTTTTTGTAATCTCAAATATTTAGATACAACAAAACAGTTGCATATCATTGTATGAATATGGAAAAGTTGGGTTCCAATAGTGGCTCCTTTTTGTAATTATGCTTAATGAAGCTTTCATTTTATGAATTTGCAGGCTTGGTTTATTGATGTTTTCTGGATAGAAATCAGCTAGAGGGAAGTATTTTCACCTTCTAGTCTGTGACATTAAAATATGAAGAGCATGGGGCAGATCAGCGCAGGCCCTTGGTTATTGGATTGTCATTTTATTATTTGTGGATGTTTTATTGGATCGCTGATCCGAGAATAATATCCCACCATGATTATGTTTAGTTGTTGTATTCCATTGATTGGGTTAATGGACTGTCCTAAAAAAATGTACATATCTGCAGACATTTTCACGCAAATGAACTTGAGTGAAGTAGTTCAAAATATTTTGATGTAATATCTGTAGACATAATTAAGTTGTTGAAAAAAAACTACACCCTGAACGGTTAGAGGAGGTGAATTTTTTTCCCTTTTCCAGTTTTAGCGACGGTATAACTATTAGCTGCTAAATCCTTTATTTGCCACAGCTAGCGACGGTATTTTTCGTCGCTAAAGACGTTTAACACATTTGAGACTCTAAATTCGTCACGGAAAGTATGAAAAACGCTGCTAAACAATAAAAATCGCCGCAACAGCTGAAAAATCGTCATTTTAAACGAGATTGCCTATTCTCTGCTGGATTTAAGTGTATTTGCTTCTGTTTTTCATATTCTTTCCCTTAAAATACTACAGGCAATTGAGAGAACCACGAAACAATAATTTATTTCTTATTTCTCTGATGTTATATATGTGATCAACAATCAACTTGGAGGAGTATTCTTCTATCATGTGAAAATAACTTCTAGAGTCGGATAGCTTTCATTAAATTTGATTCCACCAAAGCTACTCGACTCTGGAACAATTGAGAGTCAAGTGACTATTGGAAAGTCAAGATTTGAATGTGCTCAAGCTTCTTAGCAGTATATAGCTTCTTAGACAAAATGAATGAAAAGGGGAGAGAGAGAGAAAACCAAATTGTGTGAACACCAAAAACAGAAATAAGGCCACTAAGGAATATTAATCACTATTTTGATTTGCATTATCAGCTAGTGCATTGCACCTTGATTGCTTAGACAGGGCAAGAACACTTTTATGCTTGAATCTAAACATGCACAAGTAAAAGTACACTGAGTCTTCCTCGCATCGCGCGCCCGGTTATGTTCATGGTTTTGTTCTCTTGACCAATGGGAAAGCATTCAATTTAATGTCAATTTTTCTTCAAGATTTTTGTTTTGATGTAAGGGCTATCTTTCGAAAGTTTTTAAAAATAAATAAATAAAAATCAGTGCTAAAATACAAGAGGCAATTTAGTAAACACAATGAATCTGTTTATTGTTTGTCCAATATGCTTTACATATGATATAACTAGAGTTTCTCACATATCATGAAAGAATTTGTAAGTCTTGACATCTTCCACAATGAACTTGACTGCACCAATGCAACCCAACACTGCAACACTGGAGAACCAAACCACAATGGCAAAGTTAAGAAGCAGCAAAGAAAGGTAAATTTTGGTATTTTGGGGCCGTCTTCTAGCTTTTAGATATGCCAGAGCAGGGAACACAAAATCCAGTGGTGTGAACCCAATTGCTCCACAGATTGACACAAAATCCCCAAAGAAAGGCATGGCTGCTGCAACAAGAGTAATGAGAACCATGTACATGGACGTAAAAACAAGACGAATTAGATTGTTTCTGGATGTGAAGTTATTGGTAGTTTTGCGAGACAATAGTCTTTCATCAAAGTAGGCATATGTTGGCCTGCAATATATCTAACACAAGGAAATACAAATACACCATCAGAAGATAATTCCAAGGGATTTAAAAAAACTATTGACTCTTGTTTTCTTTTGAAGTATGGGAAGGAACTGAAGGGTACCTGAAAACATCCTGAGATCTGTATAACAGCAAAAAGATTGGCCATGACAATAGTCCACTGGGGAACAGTTAGGGAAGACAAGATGTAAGGCTGGACTTGTGAACCAAAAGCCCAGTAGCCAGTGAAGGCCAATTGCCAGTAGCTCAACACAATGACAGCATATGCTGCTGATACTCCTTTATACATGTTCTTCTTTGCAGGTTCTCTCACAGTATTCTGGTATCAAAAACAAAATGACCCAAATTTAACAACTTGGTTACTATTGACTCTCGAAGTTTCAAACTTCAAATTGGTAAAGAAATATATATAGATGTATAAATGACCTGTATCTCTGGAAGCATGGCATCTCCAAAGGAAAAGGCAATTGCCCCAAGAGCATTAAAGGCTCTGAAGGCTTTAGAAGATGAGCTTCCATCCAATCTGTAACTGACTGATTTCCTGTCAATCTTTTTCCCTATAAGCAAGAAGAAAGAAAATAACTCAAATTTCACAGAAGCCAAACTTGACAGAGTAGTAACATGTGCAGGATGAGGAGGCTACCGTTATAAATAGTGACACCAATGGTTGTGCCAGCAAAGCCAATGGTGCTGAAAGTGCACAAGGCATTTACCCATCTCAAGGAGTGAATATCAGGGAGCTGAGACAGCAAGAGCTCAAAGGCCCCAAAGAAGATAATAAAATGCTGCAGGGTTAAGCCACCATCCTTGTCATAATATTTGTAAACAGCCTGCAACAAAAGATAGCAAAATACATATACAATACAATTCCTTCTCAAGTCTCAACGTACAAAGACCAAAAGCAATATGAGATTGATGAGTTCAGTCAGAGGAACCAACCTTAAGGCTGCTTCCAGCTGCAATATGAATGGCAATATTATTGCCTACAGAGGCCACCTGTTGAAAAAATGCAATTGACCAATAACCCCAGAACCCTTCAAGATAATTACATAAAAATAAGTGTATATGAAGTATTCAACATGGAATTATTTGTAAAGTAAAACTCAGAAAAGCAAACTGAAAGATGAAAAGTTAGAACAAGTGGTACCAAAAATGCTGTGTGCTAAGTGGCGATAGGTGACATGTTTCTTCCCATCCCAATTCCACAGAGATGCAATGAGAAAGCTAGAATACCATGTGGCTAGTGTTGCAGCCACCAAACCGCTTACCCCTATTATAAAAAGTTAATTAAAACAGCAAATCAATCACTTAATAATAATATTTGATATAATTGGAGCATTAGAAAATGATAAAAGTTAATTACCGAGAGGCCAACCGAGAGAAGCGAGAGCAAAAGGCAGGGGAGCATAAGCGGCCGGTGTGGCAATCGTGGTGGCCATGTGGAAGGCAGCGTGCTTCCACGTCCCTTTGCCTTGTTTTGCTTCTTCTTCTACTACTACTACTACTGGTCTTTCTACTTCCACTTCTGCTGTTGAATTTGGTAGTTCTGGTTGTGACATTTTCTTCTCTCTTTTCTTTCTTTTTTCGCTGCCTTCGGATCGGAGTTCAATGCTTCAAGAGTTCATGCGAATGAGTTAGCTAAATGCCTGATAGCAAGCTAGCTACTTTTGACTTTTACTTGTTGAGGTGGTGGAATGTGGACGCTGGAAGATTAGAATCTTTGGGATTAATAGCATTATAGAATCTTTGAAAAATATTAATATAACAATGAGGGTTGGTTGGGTACCCTCACTCATTTAAGACTTGTTGTTTTGTTTTTTTTAGTATGAACGATAGTCTAAATTATACGAGAGAGAAGTTTTTCATACACATAAAACTAAGATGCTAAGACTTTTTTCAACAGAACTTGCTGTTTTGTTTATTCGTTATTCGTTAGTATGGTTTTGTTTTATACAATCTATAATCTAAACTAGAGGGGGAGAATAGTTTTTCTCACACATATTACTAGGGTGCATTAGGGTTCAAATCTGAGACTAGTTAATGTCATTTTTCATTGTTTAGACAAAAAAATATATTCATTTTCCATTACAGTGCGTTTGGATGAGGAAATTTCAAAATACAAGGGATTTTATAAATGACGGAATTTAAAATGACGGAAATTAATGTTATAGAATTTGTAAAATTTCTTGTTTGAGTGACGGATTTAAAACACGGAATTTAACCTTTATTTATAAAGCTATCTTTTTTAAAAACTCAATATCTCTTGAGATTTTAGAAATGACGACTTTTATATATAATTTAAAGTTGGGATTTATGATATCCAAATTCCATCTTTTTTCCCAAGCGGAATTTCTAAATTTCTATGTATTTTTATCCAAATACGGGAATTGGTTCGTGCCAATTTAGAAATTCTGACTTTTGTTAAAATCCCAAACTTATTTCCCTCATCCAAACACACCGGGCTAGACGACATTGGCATTATTAGTATGGTTAGTTTTGCTTTTCAATTTAATATATTACTAGCCCCCTGGCGCATGCTCACACATGTGCCAATTGGTTTTATTTTTTATTTTTCATTTTATTTTTAAAATTAAGAAAAGATAACATGGGTAGTTATGTTCCATAAAAGTAGGATATATTATATGATTTTATTTTTATTTTTTAAATATGAATTTACCATATTATCTTCATTTAATTAATAATTTCAATTATTAATGTTTGAATTAACCAATGACATTTTTTGATATTTTGAATGTTTCACTATTCTCTGCTTTTTGCTTTATAGACATAGATTTAATATATTATTAACACTCTAAAATAGATATCAATTTTTATTCTAAATGAAATTCTTATAAGAGAGTTGTTATTGGGAACTAACCGACTTCCAATGCAACCCGAGGCCCAATCCTAAGTAAAACCCAGGCCCAATTGTTTTTTTTTTTCTTAACACTTTCTACTCCTCGAATTTCTCCTCCTCTCTCTCTGAAAGACGCAGAGTTTTAACCAAGCAATGGTTCTGGGATGAGTTCGTCGATCGGTCCGTACAGCCTGTCCGTGCCGATCTGAAAGACGCAGAATCTGTACGTTACTTTCTTTATTTTTCTTATTTTCTGTTTGTCTTCCCAGAAAATCAAAGAAAAACGAGTGGCATTGCATAGTTCTTAATTGTGTGTTTTTATTTCTAAATCTTAGGTTTTCAACAAACTTTCTCTACAAGTAAGAGCGAGTAAAATTTTGAATTAGGCACAGTGGACTGGACTAGTGGACTGGACGCTTTAGTTTCTTTCTTGGCTCCAGTCTTCCAATGCATGAAAACCCTAATCTTCAATTGTCTGGTTGATTTTGTATTCTTATGTTTTTAACAACCAGATTATTCTATCCAAATTTGAATTTTACTTCTTTTAAATACCTTGCAAACAAAGAATTAATTTCTCTGAATTTTATTTATTTGACTGTTACTTAACTATTTATGATAATTCTGATGGGAAATGGGTTCTCGAAGTCACTGGTACTAATTACTTTCCTTTTCCTACCGTGTATTAACTCATCTGGGTAATCCTAGATGGCTGAGATTATTATTGATTTAACTTCATGAACAAGACAGTAATTTAGTACTTTTGTGTAACCCTATTCATTGTTTAGGAACTCCAATAAACTTTTGTTTGTCAAAAATTGAGTTGAATTACCAGTTTTGTTTAGAAAGGCATAGGAAACATGCAGCCTGTAATGTTAAGTATTCTCAGTTTTATACTGTCAATGCGCTTTCTAGTGACAGATTAAGTGAACCTTTATAATGTTATAATGTTATATTTTGTAATTCTATCATATTCCGGCGAATGCTTTGCTCATTTATACTTGTTGTGCTTGTTAACAGTATCAAGTATGCTTTCAGAAAAATAAATATATATATGTTTGGTGTTATAATTTTAGAATTCCATTGTATATACATTAAACCTTGACCTTTCATGACAAATAGTTCCCAAATTGAATTTGAGAATGCCATTCCTTTTTCGTCTGTCTTCCTTTTGTTTTACTTTACTTTGGCTGAGGTTATTCTTGATTATTATTAGTTATGTGGTACTTCTGTGTTACCCTTTTCATTGTTTAGGAACTTCACTAAACTTAGGATTGAGTTGAATTACCGCAGTTTAGAAAGGCATATGAAACAAGCAGCCTGTAATGTTAAGTGCTCTCAGTTTTATACTGTAGATGCTCTTTCTAGTGACAGATTAAGAGAACATGCGAGATTCCTTCTTATGATGTTATATTTTGAGCGATAAAGTAATTTATCATCTTCTATTGAACCTGTTGCCCATTTATACTACTTGTGGTTTGGCGTGGGATTATGAATTTTACTTGGATTTTTCAACATGCGGGCTTCTACTTAACTTACTGAGATGTTGCAAAGAAATGCTTTACACATCATTTTTATTGCGAATTTTGTGAAGGAATGATTTTATGGCTATTTGTGTTTAAAAATTAATTGTTACTGGAGGAAGCAAAATGCATGGATTTAGTAAGGCCTTTTTTTTTTATTTGAGAGGAGGGTGGGGGGGTTGTTAAGATGTTTTATTTTCCATATATCTTTCCCTTACAGAACGAGGATTTGTGTGAGGTTTCAGGTGCACAATTTCTTTTGGTTTACATGTTCCATTTTCTACTGTCATAACACTTGTGCGGTTGAGTTTGATGAGCACTCTGTTGGCATGCATCAATTTTTCTTTGTTTGTACCCTTTATTGGATAATAATCAAATTGGATCTTTTTGGTATGTAGCTTATTAAGTGTTAATATTTTCTATCAAAATTGTCGGGACATTTTTTTTTCTTTGGGAACCTACCTATGTGCAGAAATACACTTATCAACCCTTTGTTTGACTTGGATGCTAAGTTCCTTCGCCCCTGTTTTTTAGGTTACAAAAATCTGTTAGTCGCCTAATCCATTTCAAACTGTCGTGTTTTCACTGTTTAGCACATCGAGTGATATTCAAACTATTTTATATAAGAAAACTTCTTTGAACATAATACAATAGCCAGTGAAGGACCCTTTCATATCAAATTGTGCCCAAATTGAATTTGAGAATGCTATTACTTGGAATCTGGGGATTTTTCATGGTGAAAGGACTGGTGCTTTTTTTGAGAAAGAAGTGTTCACTCAGAGTAAGCATATGTAGGGTAGGCCTGCAATATCTAACACAAGGTAATACAAATGCTGCATTAGAAGATAATTCCAAATTGTGGTAAATGGGTGATTGGGGATTTTTTTTTTTTTTTTTTGTTTTTTTGGTCTGAAGGGTGATTGGGGATTTAAGAAACTATTGATTTGTTTTTAGTTTTTAGTTTTTAGTTTTTATGTTTAAAGGTATGTGAAAGAATTGAAGGGAACCTGAAAACATCCTGAGATCTGTGTCACAGCAAAAGGATTGCCCATAACTATAGCCCACTGGGCAACAGTCAGGAAGACAAAACTGAAGGCTGGACTTGTGAACCAGAAGTCCCAGTAGCCAGTGAAGGCAAACTGCCAGTAGCTCAACACAACGACAGCATATGCTGCAGATAATGTAAAAGTGATTTGAGCCATAGGATGTGATTCTAATTACGTGTCATATTCTTATCAAAAGCTTAGGCAAGGTTAGGCAAAAATAGTGATTGGGAGAGGATTCGAGTATTTGAAGGGGTTGTAGACAAGAGTATGGTCAAATTATTGAATAATAAATTTGGAAATGTAAAATTCATTAAAAGGTTGGGTTCCTGATTCGTAAAGAAGATTTCGTTATAAGAGGGGGTGTGGGAGGCGAATTTAATTTTCCTCTCGAGTTTTAGCGACGGTTTTCTTTCTAGCAGCTAAAACTGTTTTGTGCTGCGCCTAGCGACGGTTTTATTCGCTGCTAAAGACGTTTTACAAATTTGGTACCATATTTTCGTCACGAAAGATATGTAAACCGCCGCTAGAGAACAAAAATCGTCGCAACAGCTTAAAAATCGTCATTTTAAACAAGATTTGCTACTTTGCTTCTGTTTTTCAGTAAGACATTTATATTCCTTCCCTTCCAATACTGCAGGCAATTTGAGGGAACCACGAAATAATAACTTATTTCTTATTTGTCCAATGTTATATATGTAATCAACAATGAACTCGGGGTATTATTCTTCTATGTTGTGGAATATAACTTATAAAAGCGAATATACTCCATATTAAACTTGATTGCACCCAAGTTACTCTCAACTCTAAAACAATTGAGAACCAAGTGACTACTGTAAAATCAAGATTTGAATGTGCTCAAGTCATGCTTCTTTACAGCATACATAGCTTCTTAGACAAAATGGATGAAAATATTTTTATTTGTATTACCAGCAAGTGCCTTGCACCTTTTTTGGCAAGAACCCTCTTATGCTTGCATCTAATAATGTTTTGCTTCTTCTTCTACTTCTAGTGTTGTGACGTTTTCGTTTTTTTTGTTTGGGGTGCCTTCATATTTGAGTTTACAAATCAGACAAATTATTGCCAAAGACTAGCATTAGTAAAATTGTTCTTTTGTTTAGGGTTAGCTATATAAAACTCCCTAAACTATTACCTATTTTTTAAGTTTATATACTATTTTGAGTTAGTAATATTATTTTTGTTTTTCAATTCAATATGTTATTGATACTTTAAAATAGTTATCATGCACTAATTTTGTTTTTTATAATAAAATTATTGTACGAGAATTATTATTGTGATTTTCAACACATGTGAACGCCTGATGCTATTTCGAAGCACATGAACAATTAACGTCCACGTGAACGACTGATCCTATTACGACGCTCGTGAACGTTTGATGCTATAACCGACCTCGCCAAGGCCCGAATAGCCAACCCGACTTTCAGTGAAACCCAAGGCCCAATCGTAAATAAACACTAAACCGACCTTGCCCTGCACTGAACGCATTTAAAAACCCCTTCCCCAAAATTCTGTTTTATTCTTTCTACTCCTTGAATTTCTCCTCATTCTCTCTGAAAACGCAGCTTTTTACCCTAAACCCTAACAATGGTTTATATAACTTCCTGGGATGAATTCGTCGACCGATCCGTACAGCTTTTCCGTGCCGATCCCGAATCTGTACGTAACTTTCTTTTTCATATTTTCTGTTTGTCTTCCCAGAAAATCAAAGAAAAAGGAGTAGGATTGCATAGTTTTTAAATATCAAGCGCTCTCTACAAGCAAGAGCAAGCAAAAAATGTCATTAGGCACAGTGTACTAGTGGACTGGATGATTTATTTTCTTTCTTGGTTCCAGTCTTCCAGTGCATGAAAATCCTAATCTTCAATAGTCTGGTTGATTTTGTGTTCTTATGTTTTTGCAACAAAGAATTAATTGTTTTAAATACCTTCCAAACAAAGGATTAATTGGTCTGAATTATTTATTTATTTATTTGACTGGGATTTAACGATTTCTAATCATTCTGATGGATCTATTTTGTTGATGTAGACGCGATATGTGATGAAGTACAGGCATTGCGATGGGAAATTGGTTCTCAAAGTCACTGATAATAAAGAGGTACTAATTTATTTCCTTTTACTACTGTGTATTAACTTATCTGGGTAATCAGAGCTGGCTGAGCTGAGATTATTATTGATTTCACTTCATGAGCAAAACATTAATTTAGTACTTCTGTGTAACCCTATTCATTGTGTAGGAACTTCAATCAACTTTCGTTTGTTAAAAATTGAGTTGAATTACCGCAGTTCAGAAAGGTATAGGAAACAAGTAGCCTGTCATGTTAAGTATTCTCAGTTTTGTACTGTTAATGCTCTTTCTAGTGACAGATTAAGAGAACCTGTGGACTTATTTCTTATAATGTTATATTTTGATCAATAATGTAAATATATCATATTCTGGTGGCTTTTTTATTAAAATTGTTGAGACTTTTTTTTTTTTTTTTTTCTTTGGGTACCGATGTGGCAGGAGTACACTTGTCACCCCTTTCTTTGACTTAGATGCTAAGTTCCTTCACCTCTGTTTTTTTCGATTACACAAATGATACTCGAACCGACCTAAGTAGGAAAACTTCATCGAATATAATAAAAAGTATGCATTTGTTCATGCCAAATTGTTCCCAAATTGAATCTGAGAATGCCATTACTTGGAATCTGGGGATTTGTCATGGTGATAGTGCTTTTAGTTGCATAAAGCAATGTGTTTCCTTTTTCTTCTGTCTTCCCATTTTTTTTCCTCTACTTTTTTGGGTGGAGAAATCCTAATCACGGAGAGCTGGTGCAATTAGTCAGATGAGGCATCTGGCTGAATTTGACATGATTGCACTTTTCTTTGTGCATTTTCGGAATATGGAATGCTATGTAGAACACAGACTATATAAAAATCCCCATATGCCCTGTAGTTGTATTTGGAAACCTGGATTAAAGCATCTTTTTGTGGCTTTCTAGAAACTTGGGTGTTTTATGTAACCTGAAGTTTTAGATACAAGAAAACTGTTCCATATCATTGATATCATCATCAACATTTGCCTGTTTTACTCATGTGATTGATCCTTTTTGCATTTTGCAGTGTCTGAAATTTAAAACAGATCAGGCACAGGATGCAAAGAAGATGGAAAAACTTAACAATGTATTCTTCACTTTGATGTCCAGGGGTCCAGAAGGTATTATCTTTATCCAAGCCTAATCTTAAACTTTTTAATTTTTCTTCTGGAACATTGATGAAGTATTTCATTTTGTTTTCATATTAAGTTTAAATCCAGTTAGATTACTTGCTATGTGCCCTTTTCACTTGGTCCTACAACTGTAGGGCCCAATCCAATATACCAAAGATTAAGAAGTTAGATTACTTGCTATGTGTTTGAACTTGAGTGGCCTTTGACGAAAGGTCCTTCAAGGGGTAGGCACCTTTCACTAATACGTAGGACCTTTGGAGAAGCTAAAAAGCTTGTTTCAAATGCCATGTGAAATGTAATGGAGAAGTTATTTTCTGCATGGAGTCTAGAGAATTAATGTTCTGGAATGACACAATGGTTGAAGCAGCATTGCCTTTCTTAAGCTGCTATTTGGGTCTCCCTATGGACCCCACTTTGGAGCATCTGTTATGGTGCTGTAGTGTTATGTATAGCTTCCAGTTTGACCTTAATGTGTGTTTTACTAATTATTCTAACTAGAACTCATTCTTTCTTTATTTTTTTCTCATGCACAGCGGATCCTGCAGAAGTTACCGGGAAAGACCAGATGGATGCACAGCCAACCAAGAAAGGAAGGGGAAGGAAACAATAGTTTTTGTTGGCGTACAGTTAGAATTTTTTTCGGACTGATCTGTTAGGATCCAGGGATTTCATTACTTGAGTGAACTTCTACAACTACGAAATTTGTAACTACAAAAGTTGTCATGAATTCTCATTCTCTATTTTCGCTTTTGATTGCATTTTATAAACCAGGATTATTGGCGACTTTCACTTGCTTTATCTTGGTCAACATGTTCAACAGTTGAAAATAAATTTGTGGTAACACTGAATCCCGCAGGAGTTCAAACAAAGAGAGCCCATTATAGGTTGATAACAGGCCTGAACTATGTGATGACCTTGGACCCCCTTGCTCTCTTTTGTTTCTAATTTGTGGGTTTTGTTTTGGGCCTCAATAAATTGATCTGTGTGAAATTTTTTTTTTTAGTAATGATCTGTGTGATTTAGGTCAGAAAATTTTGGGACAAAATCCAATGGCATATAGTTCTCAATGATTGACTGGGGACTCCAGTCAGCTATGTACATTGCTCGTGACTGGTAAGAGAGGCTTTTTCCTTCGTGGTTTTAATGCTCAATCGTAGGGGGAGCAAAAACTGCAGCCCGCAGTATATTTCCAAGTACCAAATAAATCAAACACGGCTGGGCAGCAGCAAATGCTAGGCTAGCAGATTGCATCAAAACTTCTTAGCTCAAACGAAGCTAGACAAGCTTTACTGTGAAGAGACGCACGCACTTTCCGCTCCAAAAATACCACAAATGTAAAAAAGAATTCAGGGCTACTCCCATCTACAGACAAATTGGAGATGCATAAGAAAATGGAGAAACACTTCCACATCTCTGTTTCATTGTCTCGTTTTCTATCTCGCTTTTGATATGTGATATGAGAAGAGAGATAGAAACATGACGACAATGAAACGGGAACAGATAAGCTTTTGTCGTGAATATAAGAAGGAAGAGCTCTCTAGACAACCAAAGATAATGTTTTTGCCTTTGCCGTTCTAATGATAGCCGTGCAGTCTTACCAGATCCCAAGACACTCTTTGCCTTTTTTTAACTTTATCCTGTTAGCCCATTAAAAAAGGTTAAAAGTGTTAAATCCATGTGCCACAAAAGCTTGTGAAGCTGAGCTCAAGCTCTGTTCCTTTCATTTCCCCCTGAGAAAGTATTTGTAATAAGAGAACAAAATAAAGCCGGAGCACTTGGAGCTTGGGAAAATATTCTTCAATCAAATTAAAGAGACAGATGGATACTGTGACACTGGGACAGAATGTCTAGGAGGAGGACAAAGTGAATTAATGTTATCTTTATGAACAGGGTTCCTTCCAATGAGGACCATTTTGTGCTTTGCTTCCATCCACAAACATTTTTAAAAAAATAAAAAATAGTCTTTTCTGTCTCTCATTAATGTGGGTTTTGCTCATGCAAACACTAACCTGAAAACATGTTAGCTTGGGGGGGTTGATGAAATCATTATGTTATAGAAGTGTGAGGGAGAAGGGAAGAACAAAGAAGAAATGGGTAATAAAGAAGCTTTTGTGATTCCTTAAAGATAGTCTTCAAAATTCAATCCCACGTATACGTGGGTTGAGTCAGTTAACCATAGATATATGCTCGTCTCTTGCAACCAATTAGACTATTGCCTTGCTGAAGGAGGAAAATTCAACCGTCATTTTAGTTCCTTTCTAAGCAGTGAGAAAAAGAGGATCGTGAAACTCCCATAATCCATATCAACCGAAGGTAAAACAGAACTGTGGAGAACAATATCAGTGCTCCTATGAAAAAAAAGAGAAGAAAAAACTCGATAAGCACAAAGAACAAGGGAAAAAAGCAAAAGATTTGATGTGTTTCGTGGCTGTACATTTTGGGTAAAGTTAACCTTTTGTTCCATAAAAAATCTGAATTGTTCCAAGTTAAACGTTGTAAAGTATGAATCCGTGCACTTTGTGAAGGAAAAAAACCATGCTTTGATGCGCCTTTTCTTTTTCTACTTTTTATTACTCATAATTATGTTTCGATTCTATGTAGAAATTAAATTTAAAAAGAAAATATTTGTGTATTTCACTTTCATGTAGAAAAACTGACACAATAAAAATTAAAAAAAAAAAAAAAAGTGGTAACAGTCACCGTTATTTAGTGACTAATGCTGAGGTTACTAAAGACTTTAGTCACCAAAAATGCATTTTTTCGGGGACTTTGGTGACTGAAAAAAGGCATTTTTAGTGACTAAAGTCTGTAGTCAAATTAGCGTTAGCCACCAAATAATGATAATTATTGTCACTTTTGTTTGTAGAGAGACAAAATTGCTTGGTTAAGTGAAAGTACAACAAAGGGAAATTAAAATGAGAACATAACATACAATTTTAGTAATTCCTGTTGTAAATTTCCACTCTTCTTGTTTTTCTTTCTCTAGTAAGATTTGATTTTATGCTTTTTCTTCCCTTCATTTTATGTTGAAATTTCATCATCGGGAGATATGGTCTTTCTCCTTAAAAGGGAAAAGGATTTAAAACCGAAAAAGGACTGTGAATGTTGGTTTCCTCATATCTATCAAAGCAATTGTAATTGTTTCCATCAAAATAAGAAAGAACCACATCATTATTGTTAGGGTTTCAAGTACAAATAGAACATGTATTCATCTCTCGAGGACAGTCTGAAAATGATGCTCATGATGTCAAATAATTTGCATGAGTCCTAATTACATTATCCTTATATGGAGGAGAGTATAACTAATTATGGTGCACTACTAACATCTCACTTAGTTATGGTAATGAATGGTTCTTGACCGTACATGTGCCATAATTAAAATCGTTCCAAATCATCATTTAGAGATCATTTCTAAAAATTTTTTTTTTTCATATTGAATTTCATATTTGTCACGAGGAGGATTTGGATGACCGGACCATCTCCAATATGAATTTTTTTTTTTTTTGGCATGAACGATCTTTAAATTGTAATTTAGTAAATAAATGGTCACGATTGTAGCATATGTGATGAATATTACTTAATCACGGCAGGACAAGGAGGTGCACCCACCTAAGTATTATATTTTAATATTTTCTTATAACTAATTACGGTACACTATCAACATATCGCTTAAAATTTTGATCATAATAATTACATCATGATCACCGTTAATTATGACAAATATGCATGATTGCAATATTATAAAACATTAATCATTATTAATAAGAAAAATTTGCATGGCATATATGAAACATATTAAACTGAATAATAATTATATAAGATACATTCGTTATAATATCAAAACGTTTTCACGATTCATCATAATTAGGTATGTAAAAGTTCATAAAAAGAAAGAAAAAAAAAAAACTATAATTAGGTATTAAATAATTAAATTGTGTTTTATTTAATATGTATTAATTAATTGGAAGTGAGCTGATTACGCCAATTAGAGAGGGGTGAAGTCAACGGTGCTAGGATCGGTGGCCCCCATGCGGTGTCAGGCACCGAACTAACAGTGTTTCCACGGCGCAAGATAGAAAATGAGAGAGTCGGGCGGTCAAACAACACATTGGGTTACGTGTGAGACTTTAGGGATCAATTTTACGCGTGTCGACGTACGATTAGCCATCTTCGGCAACGGCTATATTGGATGCTCTCGAGTGCTGGTCTGTGCTTGGGCCCCACTTATTGACGGACGTTGGGATAAGCCGCGCGGACAGAGGAAAAAAAAGACTTCAAAGCAAAGTAAAACAAGGAGCTTTGGCAGTGCTTTTTAATGTTTATATTTTTTGTTTTAATGTTTTTTTATTTTTATTTTCTTTGACCCAAAGAAAATGTTTCTTATATTTTATTCTTTGATTTTTTTAGTTTTTATTCATCTTGACTATTTGCTTTTTTGGTAATCCTTTAAAATTGAATTATGAAACTACATTACTTCATGATCGCTATACAGGTGTGAGTAATTTCTAACCGTTGATACTTGTTGTTCACAACACATTTTGCATGTGAGTACGTTCAAACAAGTGTCAATGAATTGCAGACTCATGAGGTATGCCTCATTTTTTCCACACCCAAAATCCAAATCTGCAGGTGCAGGTGCAGCAAAACATGCAAAGAGGCCAAAGCTCTGAACAAAGCTCAACAACCTAATAACCGTATGACAACTCAACAAAGCACACAGTTTTTTTTCTGGGACTGGAAGTTACAAAAGCTAAAGCTGAATTAGTGGGTCTGGTCTCTCAGGAAGGATAAAAATTTTGAAAGTTGAAAAATTGAAATTGGGTTGAAGGAGTTTTATACATGCAATACAAAATCAAATCTGGAAAAGTAAAAGCAAAAGTGAGAAAAAAAAACTTCGTGTACACCGAAAAATCAAAGGCTCACTTTAACATTTTGTGGACGTCTGTGTAGAGAAGACCATTTCCCAAAAGAGAATAACAAAGGTCTTTGATGGGACCCGCCTTCAAATCTGTGACATGGACGGCAGTTTCATTTTATTTCTGAGCTTTCCTGGTTCACTGTTTATTTAAATGCCTCTCTCTTCTCTCTCTCTTCCCCTATTAAATTTTTTGATTTCTATATCTCCCCTCATTCTCTCTCTCTGTTGAATTCTTTGGGTTTCTCCCTCTAGAAAGAAAGAGATTATATTATTAAATAAAGATGGGGGCTTTGTATTCTTATGGCAGAGTGAATTCTCAAGCGAAGCAAAAGTCTTCTCATTCACACCCTTCAATCTCAAAAGCATGAATTGAGAATCTAGGGTTTGACAGCACCAAGTCCAACAAGGTCTGTTCTTTGGTTCTTTTCTTGCTCTATCACTCCAAATATTGTCAATTTCTATGTTATAATGTCTTGATTTCTATCTGGGTTGTCCTCTTTATCAATCAATTTTCTTAGACCCAGTTGGTTCTGATCTCCTGCCAGAAATTTCATTAGAAAAATCGTAGCTTGTTCGGTTACAAATGGGATTTTGGCTATCTAGGTACTTGTTTTTGTCTGATGTGGATTGTTGAACATCCTATGATAAGTAGGCTTTCAGAGTTCCTGGTTTCTATGGTGTGTTTTGGTTAAATTTTTGGTCTTTCAGAATTTAGGATAGGGGTTAGTTTTTGTTAGTTTGGTTGGGGGCTAAAATGGAGGACGTCGAAGAAGCTAACAAAGCAGCTGTTGAAAGCTGCCATAGAGTTCTAAGTCTTTTTTCTCAGACCCAAGATCAAGTTCAGTATAGGAATTTGATGGTGGAAACTGGGAAGGCCGTGTCTAAGTTCAAGAAAGTTGTTTCCCTTCTCAATACTGGTTTAGGTCATGCTAGAGTTAGAAAGCGTAAGAAGCTTCAAATTCCTTTTCCTGAAAGAATCCTCTTAGATAATCCCAATTGTATTACAGACTATCCATCCAAAACTCCTCACTTTATTCAGTCTAGCTTTCCTGAAAACCCAGTTCAAGATTTGGGTTTAAATGTTAAAAATTCCTTGTGTTTGGGAAACCCATCATTGGAATTAAGCACTAATGGGAAAAATCCGCTTCAACCGGCGCAACAAGCACCTCCAACACAGTATCATTTCCTTCAGCAACAACAGCAGCAACAGCAAGTGCAACAACAGCAACAGCAACAGCAGAGGTTGTTCCTTCAGCAGCAGCAGCAGATGAAACACCAAGCAGAAATGATGTACCGTAGGAGCAATAGTGGCATAAACCTGAATTTTGATAGCTCTAGCTGCACACCTACGATGTCATCTACAAGATCCTTCATTTCTTCCTTGAGCATAGATGGAAGTGTGGCTAACTTTGATGGTAATTCCTTCCATTTGATTGGGGCTCCTCTCTCTTCGGATCAGAATTCACAACATAAGAGGAAGTGTTCTGCAAGGGGAGACGATGGGAGTGTGAAATGTGGTAGCAGTGGTAGATGTCACTGCTCAAAGAAGAGGTGGGATTTATCTCCTTATGTTCTACTTGGTTCATCTAAACCTTGTCAACAAATATCTTGTAATGTTTCTCTTTCATGTCATGGAGGAGCAGTTATATTTGTTTATAACTACTTTTTGTTAATTATGTTCTGTTGGCAGGAAACATAGAGTGAAAAGATCTATTAAGGTGCCTGCTATTAGTAACAAGCTTGCAGATATCCCTCCAGATGATTATTCATGGAGGAAGTATGGACAGAAGCCAATCAAGGGTTCTCCTCACCCTAGGTATAATATATTTCTGCACTTTGAAATGAGAACTTGATTGATTGTGATGCATAAAATTTTGTTTCAATGTTTTATATCTAATATTGCAGTATTTTAGTTAATCTTATTGATAGTTACGGGAATTTAGCTTGAAATGCAAAATAAGTTGATGAGCATGGTTGAATATTTATTTTTTGCGAATGTTAGTGTTGTTAACTCTTTTTATTTAACTTCTTCACATACACAGTAGAGGCATGCATTCTCCCATTCAAAAATCAGATAGTGTGATTGACCATTTGGATTGTGATATCTTTGGTAATCAGCAAGTCATCTTGTGGGTTATCTGTTGTTAGTATTCTTCAAATTGATGCCACTGGATTGTTTTGTTAGATGTAATGTCTAGTAGGCTCCGTTGGGAATGTGGAATAGCCCTGGATTTACTTATTTTATCAAGTATGCTAATTATGACCTTCAATAGAAAAACATCTAGTGTCAAGTGGTTTGAAGTTGCTGAGAAGAGATGGTGGCCAAAAAAGTTCAGTTTCCTAGCAATCCTGCATGTTGCAATATGCATGTTTGGTTGTTGTCAGATTCTATTTTCTTTTGTTCAAATTTTTATCCAGACTCTCACAGTTGAATGATGGTCAAGATTTGTTAAAAGAATCAATTTTGAGGATGATATGTGATTGATATTGTAATGTTTGTTGATGCACATCAACTTTATTCAATACTACTACACTTTCGAGTTTGTTCGATACTAGCATGCACTTTTGAGTTTATTCTATACTATGCACTTTCAAATGTAGGGGTCAAGATTTGTTCAAAGAATAAATTTTGAATATGACTTTAAGTGATATTTAAGAATGCTTGTTGATGCACTTTTGAGTTTATTCGATACTACTATGTTTGTAGAAGATCATGGACTTTTAAGTTTAAAATTATTTGGTACTGAATTAACTGTTGAAACTCCTTTTAACTTTTGCAGGGGATACTATAAATGTAGTAGCATGAGAGGTTGTCCTGCAAGGAAGCATGTTGAAAGGTGCTTGGAAGAACCCTCTATGCTTATTGTTACCTATGAAGGTGAGCATAACCACCCAAGGATACCATCACAATCTACAACGACATGAAATTCATGGAGAGCCTCGCCAAGCCCAAGCCCAACAGTCAATTTATCACACCCTTATCTATGTTCGGCTTGAGATGCTCCTGTACATATTTTGCATGGTTCAAGCATGACATACAGTCGGAGCAGTTACTTTGGCTTTGGGGAGTTAGCTCTTCAAGCGTTTTGGCGTTCAGGCAAGCAGGCATGAATCCCCAGGGAGGACTGAAAGAAGTCTGTAAAATTGGGTCATCCTTTAAGAACTCTCTTTCATGTTTTTTTCTTCCTTTTTTAGGCAATCAATGCTTTAAACAATGTAGGGTTTTTGGAATTAATGAAATGCCTTTCATGTGGTACTTCTTGTTTTCATTTACTTGTTTGCAGTATTTAGCAGTTGTTTATACTTTCTGGTGGAAAGTGCAATCATGAGTGGTTTAGGCAAGTGGTCTTTGCAATTTGAGAGAGGGTGAAGTGGGCTTGAGGCAGATAGTCAAGGAAGGATGAATTAGAAGCCAAGTAACAAAGAGAACTGTTGCTTTCAGTCCTTGCCAATTACTGTTGCTTTCAGTTGTTGTGAAGAAAAGGGAAAAAAGAGGTTAGGTGTGACCAATGAGGGGGGAACAAAAGGCAGTTATTCAAAATCTTTTGAAATGTTATTATTCCTTCATTAGGAATTAGAATCCAGTCCAGTGTGTTTTCTTTGGGTCCAATTCCAAACGTCCTTTAATCCAAAAAAGAGGAAAGAAAAAAAAAGAAAGAAAAATTCTCTTTGGCCTCCCAATGGCCTAATTGTTGGAATTATGAATCAATCAAGTTGGTGAAAAGGGCACACTGCCAGGAGAAGTATGCATTCATTCATGGATAGCTTTGGTTGGGATTCTTGGGACCTTGCAATAAAGAAGTGATCACATATGGCTACCAAAAAGTTATAGAATGAAAGACAGTGTACCACAAAGAAATGATTGATGTTGCTGAGCTAAGCCTAAGCATGTCTTCTTCAAGCTAGTATTTTTGCTTGTGATATGGATTATCTCATTGTTTCAGCTTCTATACATATATACATATAAAGAAATAGTGGGATTGAATGAAGGTCAATGGCGTGTTAAAGCAGTCATGAGTGAGAAGATAGTCAACTAGATTGGATGAGGTTTTGGACTCTTCAATTGTTTTAGATGGTGTAATTAGTAATTGAAGTTGCTGCAACATTTTCCAAAACCTTTTTGATTAACCAACCAGAGGAAGACAGGCGGTCAACACACCAAAGTAGTACATGATTACGCAAAGGTGTTAATTCTTGACAATCAACGAGGAGGCTAGGCTTTCTCAATCGTTTCGGTGAGAAGAAATGTTTCAAAAATATATTCATCTTCGATGCATGAACATCAGTCAACTCCCATTCAACCAATTTTTTTAATTAATTATAACAAATATATGGGCAGGGCTGATGTAGGAATGTAACTTGTATCTAATTTGATGTCATGCCAACCCAGTCTTTGTAGTTGGGCTTCAGTTATAGCGCTCAACGCAAGCCTGAATTGTTTAGAATGAGATCGTCTTGCCAATTTTGAGCTGGGCTGTGTTAAAATTAAAAGGGCTAAGTGCTGTGAGCCTTGAAATACAGAGACAAATGGAGCAGACCACCCAATACTCATTGTGGAATACTACTTGACCAATGAAATTGAGTCATTGAGAGATTAATGTAGGAATGGCGTTTTCCGAGAGCGGGATGAACAACTGACGCTAGCATAATTGTTCGTTCTTTTGTCTAGTGCACTAAGAGCATCTGCAGTGATAAGCGTAATTTCTCTAGACAATAAAATATATTGACGTGAGGAGGAACATATTTACTAGTTATATCATCGGCAATTGCCAGAATCTCAAGACGTTCTTCGAACCAATCATAAATTTTACTGAGAAGCTAAATCATAAATTTTACTGAGAAGCTAAATCATGAAGGCTCCCCCCGGCAACCAACACAGATGAATGATTATCATTATCAATGTGTTGCATATCAGCCATTCATACATGGCACATTGTTAAGTGATTAACAACAGAACATCAAGTTGGACGATGATTTTAGCTGCCTATATATGCTAAATTATTACCAGTTTAGTAACTTTTACCTACCCTTTGATTTTGTCAAGGGATTTGCATAGTAATTACATATAAAAAAATGGAAACAGATTTAATTGAATATCAGTTACAGTATCAGTAATCCATTTTTAATGAGTCAAATAAACACGTGCGTGGCAATTCTAGCACCAAACTAAGAAGTTATTTAATTAAAATTAGTTAATGCAAAAATTAAAAACGCAAGCTAACCATGGAAGTTGCAGCAAATAATCCACTGAATCTAAGCTCAGTGGTGCAACGATGAAAACCATAGCAGACAGATTTAACAGTCGTTAATTAACTTTTCTTAACTTTGCCCGCCCTTAACCGCCCTTTTTTTTTCTTTTCCGGTATTTTACAAAAATGTACACATGTGATGTGGAAATAAGGAGTAACTGCGAAGGGCAAAAATGGAATGGAGCCAAAAGCTTCACCAATAAAACAAAGACAAACTACCTCGGAGGCTCACGGCGGCTCAGAACAGCGGCGCCGGCAGATTCAGATCGAACAAGAACGGTTTCTTCTCTTTCCTCATCTTCTTCTCCTGCTCGCTCACCACTAGGTCCACATTCTCGAGCTTGTACCCCTTGTACTCCGACCTCACCGGAGCCCCCGACGGAGCTCCGCCCATGAAGTACATCGGCGGCGGAGTCCAGAAAATCTCGGAGCCACCGCCGATCACAAGCGTGTGAGGCAAAGCTGAAGCCGGAGCTCCGAAGTTAGTCTTGGCTTTCGGACCGCGGAGGCTACGCGCGGCTTCGTCGTACGCAAGAGCCGCCTCCTCGGCGGTGTCGAAGGTGCCGAGCCATTTCCGAGTCTTCTTCCACGGATCGCGAATCTCAGCGGCGAATCGGCCCCAGGGCCTTTTGCGCACGCCTCTAAAATGCGCCTCCTTGGCTCCGCCGCCTCTAACGTGAGCCGAGTGCTTGGGCTGAGCCGGAGGCTGACGTGGCGGTGGTGATGGCGGTTCGACAGCGAGGGAGAGTGAGGTCTTGCGAAGGTGGAGCGCGTCTACAGCCATTGGGGGTGTTGTCCGAGGACCGAGTGGACTGTACGGACAGAGAAATGGGGGAAGAGTGAGAGTTTAGGGTTCGAGTTTTGGAGGTTATTTATAGTGGAGGAGACAGTCTGGGTTAACGCCGACAGGCTTTGGCCTTTGGGTTGAATAAAAAAATATTTTAAAAAATATTAAATTAAAATAAAAGGATTTTTTTTTTCTCTTTTCTTTAATGGGTTGAAAAAGGTATCGATTTCATTATGGGTTTGACGCATTAAGTGCATGCGTGTAACGAAGAGATTTGGTGGGGCATAATTGAAATGCTTTGCACAAATCCACACTATTTTTTCAATTTATATACTGTGGGACTGTGGACCAACATTTATATTTGTCGGTTTCAATGTGACAGCCAAAAGCGTCATCTTTGGCACATAGTCTTTGGTTTGCATAATCTTTGGACCTTAAAATTTTGGATAATGCACTAAATTGGTATCCATTCCATTAATATCGGATTTGATATGGGAAAGAAAGTTGCTTCCTCCTCATTTTTAGAAGGGCGGTTCTAGAAATTCAGTACGCACATAGTTTTGCATCTTCAACTAATAGGGCAACACTGAGTTAACTACAAATATTGTATTGTTGGGGAGGTCTGGCCACGACGCGCCTTGTTGTGTTTCCGCTCTTATTTCTGTTTATTCTGCTTTATGAGTGATTCATGTGTTAATATTGCGCTCTACGACGGTGTAGAAATAACATATTAGATAACCAAGTTCATATACATACCATTAAAATCAGATACTTAAGACATGTTAATTTTTACCACAGTAAAATATACATGCATGAACAATTAAAAATTAGTCACAACAAAATTAGCATATTGCATGTAATAAATAAACAACAAAGGCGCCACAGTTTGGGTCAACACTGACACGATGAGTCAAACCAAAGCGCGAAGGAGAGAGAAGTAAATGAAACGGCGGCAAGCGATGGTGGGGTCGAGTGGTGAATAAAGGGTTTAGGAGCACGTGGGGCATGAACGATGGCAGTGAAGTTAAAATTAGACGACTTCTTCTTCAAGTGAGTGAGTGGTGTAGTGGGGCCCAACGTCGTGTCTCTACCTGACAACGCTGACACATCATTACCTAAGCCTGAAAGTTGAAAAGCCAAAGCCTCCCGCCTCGTAATCGTAGCCCACCACCGCATAGACTACACTGAAAATTTTTCACGCTCAGACTCTCTCTCACCGATTTTAAAAAAATATTATCTTTTAACTTTTACTTTTTCATCACCCGCCATCACTTGTCATTTCAAATAAAACCGAAATGAAAATGGTTTGGATATTTATTTTTGGGCTCGGGCTGGGTATGTTCTATAGGATTTTTATTTGAATAGCTTTCTGAAAAGCCACTACGAAGACAAGTGATTGTGCATTTGGCCCGGACCCAATAGAGGAGGCCTACGTCTTAGATGGCCCAATTCAAAAACCAGCATTGTAAACACCATGACATCAAACCAAACCGAGTTGAAACCCTACCTAGTATAAGCTCATTTTCCATTTCATTGATTATAATCTGTGCATTTGAGATTTGATCACACAGGTTTACATCATTTAAGCAATAATTGAGCAGATTTCGGAAAATATAACGATACGACTGCTATTATGTGTAGAGTGAAGAAATGTGTAAAATATTGTTACTTGAGAGGAGTGAACCTGGAGGAATGAGTAGCACCAATACCAGGGGAGCTTCCATGCTTGACAGGCTTGTAACTGATTGAGAACTCAGCTAGATAGTGGCCAATCATTTCAGGCTTGGTTTTAACTTGATTGAAGGTTTTGCCATTGTAACACCAATGATGCTACCAATCATCTCCGGTACAATGATCATGTTGCGCAGGAGAGACCAAACTAGCTCTCTGGCTTCTCACCAGGTTGTGCCTCTTGCTTCTGTTTCGAGCATAGAAATTGACAAAGAGTCCAAAATAATCTCGTACTATTTTAGCTTACAACACAACTTTCTAAAGTATTGGTAGCAATGCAAACTACATGAAGTTCAACTTACAAGAAACAATAATGGTGGCAATGCAAAGTAAATTGAGTTCATCTATACTCTTTATGAAGTTCCAGCATCCACTCACCACACAGGTTTATGTTATTCGAGGACCAATCATGCCATATCTATCATATTCTTAGAATAACGAGTAGCATAATCACTGACGATAACAAGGCAGATAAAGAACATTGTCCCCTGTTGACCAGATTAGAA